CTATTCTACTTCAGATTTCAGGTGTTTGGATTTAACAATTTATTTCATTTTAATTTCTTTATAAAAGATTCAGCCTACAAATACATTTATCCACCAATTACCTGTTAAGTTGACTCAGTGTTTTGGTACCTAAAAACTTGTGGTTAGCTTGCTGTGAAATGTTATTGTGCTAAGACTTTATGAGTTCATGGGAAGACTGAATATTCATAATTCTGGGTCAGGAAATTCAAAACTTGCAGATTGTGAAGAAACACATATTTACAATTGTTTCTTTTTCTCTATGCATCAATTATGCTGGTCCTTGTTGGCAATGGCATATTAGGCAAAGCAGTAAAAGACATAATTGGCTGTTACTACATTTCAAATTGCTCAGGCAAATCATTTGCATAGGTGGCAAGAGGTGCTTTTGACAGCAGTTCACATTCTGCATCATTATAAAGTGATGACCAGTTCAAATAGAAGAAAGCTAAAAGGAATTCATTAGATCTCCTTATATCAACATTAATCTTTGTTGTCTAAGAACAGATTCAGGACTGTACTCTTGTTTCAGAACATTTAAGAATCAAAAAAATTCCTTTCCCCAGCCTAAGAGCTGTGATAAATCTAATCATTTATTTGATGATAGATGCTTATTATAATCACTTTCTAACAACTTGCTCAGCAATTAAAATCAATCATGATGTTTAATTCCTCTTAATTTGGATACTTTAGATATGTGTTTCATACGAAACTCTTCCTTCCAAACTTGATTAGCTGTTTTTAATAATCTCCATTACTCTTGAATTCTTCAACACACATGAATGTACTATTTTCTTCTCCCACATCTATTTTTATTTCAGTGGTCCCAAGATGTACAGTACATATTCTCCTCTCCTCTGTGGGTTTTTAATCCATCTCTCTTCATGTTCTAGCCAGGCACTCTGGACTATCAAAACTGTATAAATGTCAGTTAAACCATTTTATGTTCATGAATGAGAATTTTAGATTTAATGTTAAGATGCCACTGAAATACTGACCAAATCCATGCAACTTTTACGATATGCTTTGGTAGCGCATAATTTATTAATTGCCATTCCACTTTTTCTATTGAGCCTAATAAATCCCATAACACTAAATTCCAGGTACTTCATCATGGCACTCAGTTGTGCCTTTAAAACTAAAGCCTGCACTTCATGAGTGACCAGTGTAGACAAACAACTGGGTAAAACAGCAGAAGGGCTGAAGACTCCTCTGAGACATCCGATCCTTCACTCTGCAGTAGATAGTAGCCTTGCTCCTGCAGTCCTGCCTGCTACCAATCTTATCAAGAGCACAGGGATTCTGGTCTCAGTTTTCAACAACAGCATGAGCCTGCACTGTGTGACAGGCTAGCTGCAGAACAATTTCCAGTTTCAGAATCAAGGGCCATATTGTCATGACATGACATGATTCAGGGGAAAAAAAAAGGCTTGAATCAAAAAGGAAACAGCTGAAGCACATGAAATGTAAACTGTTAAGTAAGCTTTCATTTCAATAATACCTTCTTTTTCTTTTTCTGACCTTTTCCCAACCAGGCTTGATAATCTAGGTAGCAAAGGCTGTAAGATTTATCTGAGACATAATAGCTGCTAAAACCTTGAACTACTTCCTTCAGAAAAACGCACAGAACAGGAGAAAGAAGAATTGCAAAGATTTTTTTAAAAACATTTATATTTTCTGTCTCCAGGGTTTAGTGCTACTTGCAGCTTGAAAGACAGATACAGCAGTCTTAGCAATCTCTTCAGGTTCTGATACACTCACACCAGCATTATGTACCTTGTGATATTGCTTTCCCATACCAGGCCCAGAAGTGCAGTCATCACCAGCTATGGTACATGAGTTTTAAATAGAAGGCAACATCAGACAGAAATTATGAAGAATATCAAAACAGATAAAATTTATTTATCTTTAACTAATTTGAATAATACCAACTTTTCCCGATCTGTGCCAGGTACACTGCACTCATAAATTCACCAATATGCTTATTTATTATTATACTGGGGGGCAGAGGGAGAAAAGAAAAGAGAGTAAATGTACAGGATCAGGTGTTATTCAGTATTTACAGAGAAAAAGTGATGGTGCCTGCTTAGATCATTATTGCTTCTAAAATGTCACAGTATCCTGGGATCATGGCAACAAAAGTTGAGCAACACAGGATTTAGATAATCCTAGATTCAGTATCAGAATGCTGGAGGAGATTTTAAGAGGTTATCCAATTTATCTCCACATCTCTAAGGAAAATCAGCTTTTGCTGCATCATTTCTCAGTGCCTTGCCTTGCCTTGCCTGCTCTTGAACATCCTCCTTCAGGCAGACACAGGACCACCAAAACTATTTTTGGTCCTTATTGTCCTTGCCATTAGAAAACTTTCTTTCATACTTAGAATATATTTTAAATGTTTGCTATGTGTTCTAGCCATTATGGAAGCAGATAGCAGACACTTCCACTTATTAACAGCTTATTTACACTTTGCATTTCCTCTTAACAGTTTTCCTTTTCAAGATTTAACAAATCAAATTTGTTGACTCCTTTCTTTTGTAACTTGAGTTTCCTAGATTCTTGATTGATCTCAGAATACTTCTGAGAATATTCTATGAGTATGCCAGTTTTCCTGAAAATGCTAAAATTGGGCTCATGCTATTCACCAAGATAATATTGAATTGTTCATCCTGGGTTTTGCGTGTTACTAGTCCCTTCTAATCTGGTTTCCCTGCAGGGTGGTTAGGCTCGCTTACTGCCTCCAGTCCGCATACCCAAGGGCTGACATTTTCATTTCCCTTCACAATATCCCCAAATACATTCACTTCTGATGCTGCTCATCTCATTAGATCTCTCTGTTAGTTGACTTATTGATCCATTTCAAATGTCATTTCCCAGCACAGTCTCTGGGGCAGATCAGGAGCTTTCCTTGCTCAAACACAACCTCCTTGTTTTTGAATTTGCAGAATTTGTTTATTTGAGTATGTTTCTGTAGCTGAGTTTTGCTTTTCATAGCCAAGAGAAGTCTCCATGCACTGTATGCACAATGTGTGCACTTGTCTCCCACATGCTTGTGTCACACATGCCTTAATTTCATAGCAGGCACGTAGATGTTCCCAAGCACAAAAAGAAAAAAGTGTCCATATTTCCCTAGATTAACAGTTCTGTAATAATAATGATACTAAAGAAATCCCTGATCTCAGTCAAAATGCAGAAAAGATTTTTCTTCCCTTTTAGTTATGAAAGAACAAATATAAACAAATAAATTGAACAAGGGACATTTTGACTGAGTAACAAGGCAAAATGAAGGGGAAGAAGAGGACATATGTGAACATCTTCATATAGATACTGGAGCAAGAGAACATGCACCACAACATCTTTAGTGTACAAGTAGAGGTATTGGGCTGTAGGAACTAATCTACAAATCTCATATACAGTTGAAAACCTAGAGGAACTCTGTCTGTCCTGTTCTTCTGGTTTTAATCAGCACTCTGTACTTCTAAATATTATCTACATTTCAGTTCTTTCAGGAAGTTAACACTAGGATATACTGAGACAAAATATAAAAACTATAAACATCAATATGCATATGAAACCAAATTATTTTGGTAAGGAAATTTATAAGCTAAAAAAGTGGTCTTTCTTATAAGATACAGTGCTTTTGTCACCAATTATTCCTTTAGGTTGATCCAAAAATAAAGTGAATTAATTAAATATTTTATTACTTCTAAAAATACACTATGGTCTAGAATTTAGTAGAATGTTCCATTTCTGTATAAGGACATTAAAGTCTAATCAATCAAAACCAAACAGTATAGTTTTATAATAGTAAGTATTATATAATAAGTAAGACAGTAATAGTATAATAACATAACTAAAATAGTACCATTCGGAAACAGCACCTTAGAAAATCTGAAATTAGGGTTTATTTCAAACTGTTACTGAAACATTTGGTATGAGTAGTATAACTCATTTGGGGAATGTCAGCAAAGCAAAAGCCAGAAGGTAAAACTGAGCTTAAATCTCAGATATAGATATCTCAAGAATTAACATGTCACCTTGAGAAGACTGTTGAAAATTTAGGACAGTTTTCCAATGAGGCAATCAAAGGAGTCAACTACTCATTCGGCTTTGGTGCTGCCAAAGTATTGGTCTATCCAAGAAGATAAAGAAAAGCAGATCTGTAGCTGTTCACTGAGAGTATCCATTAAGTTTCCTTAGGTATTGTTAATCAATAAATTGCAGCTCCTACGTAACCTTTTTAGAGATACCTAAAGATACAGGCTGTCACTGTTCCTTCTACTTAGTATCAGCTATCTCCTACTTCATTAACTCGCCTCACAACCTTTAGCCATCTTCTTTAATATAACCTTTGATACAACCTACTAATAAATGCTGTATTAACATCATGATCTTTATAAAAACATAATTGCAGTGAACTTTTTAATATTTTGGTCTCTGTCACCACAAGGTCTTCCTGCTCAGAGAAATACTTGTTTTGGTGATGAGAGCAATAAAGGAAAAACAGAGATCAGCTCTCTGAAAATCCTCCTGACATCCTCAGATGTTAGTGTTTTGTAACCTGTGAAATATATTGATTCCAGAAATACACATCCAGGAGCATAGCAGTTGATTATTATCTTTTCTTTGCCATTGCTGCTGAATGTTGTCTCCCAAGCTGCTGCTGCATACATAAAACAATACATGTGTTTCACCTTTAAGATGTTTTGTGTTTTAACTTTTAACTCTCTTTTGGGAAACCATATATATTAAGAAGTTGCTTCATTCTTTAGAGTAGAGAAAGTTTTAAGCAAATAGCTTTTGTCTGTTATCACACAACCTGTATCAAAAGGAACATTTTATATAGATCAAGCTCAAACAAAAACCCATGCTCTTTTTTCTCCAACTGTATTTTGTAAATGTCAATCCAAGCTTCTTTTCTAGTATATGTGTAAGTGCTGTAAATTTGACAGAAGAATATCTGAAAAACAGTAGATTTTTTTTGTTGTTGTTGAAACAGTGATTATTTTTTTTTTTTCTGTTCAAAGGTGAAGCTTGAGAGAAGGAAATCCATGCCAATTTGTTTTCCTAACTATCCTTGACACCTCGATACCTAGGGAAACAATGCACTTGACTTGAGTTGGAAGCTACTCCAGAGAAACAAACACAAAATACAAAAGAAAAGACAAAAGCGAGTCAGAAAGATACCTTCTTACAACATCTTCTCTGTTCCAACACAGGAGTCCATCGGCAGCTGCCAACTCATTACTGCAGAGCTGATCAGTCAGGCCACCGTAAAAGGCTCTGTAGAGCCGGAGCTGGCTGATAAATTCCCTGCACAGGGGAATACAGGAAATAATCGACAGTCAATAACAACAAGCTGTTGTGCATTTCTACAGAAGAAGATAAAGAATGTGCTTATTTTACTACTCTCCATTGGTTCCAATGATCTTTTTTTCTTAAATCAATTTGTCAGTTTCTTGTTAGATTAATTGGATTCTCTCAGATCACTTCAGTAGCTTTACAAGGTTGATACTCTCATAAGTGAAAATGAAAAAAAAACTAACTTCACTCATGCTCTGGAACAGGAATTATTTCCCTCCAACCTGAAAAAGCATAGCAATTTAAAATAATAATAATTAAATTGAATACGTAATCTGTTTTTCATTAATGCCACTAACTAGTCCGCTATACAGCATTACAAATACTACAAAGAGTATTTGTTAGTGATGGAGGAAGAAAAGATTTAGGTAAGATGGGTTTAAGACGTAGGTGTTAAATATTTAGTGAATATTTAAATAACTGTCTGAAAAATTACATCAGTTTTATCATGTGCTGTTGGTAGGTTATAAATTACATATTGCTATTTTAAATAATTGTCAAGATGCCCAGAGCTAATGATAAGTATTTGTACTTAATACAAATAAATGACTTTTTAGTTAGTATGTTTTTAACTGGATTGCGATATTTATGTTTATAAAATGTTTGCTTATGTATTGAAAATCTCTTCCTGGGATACCCATTCCTGCTGTGAATAATTAAAATATTTATTCATTCTGGTTTAGAACATCACACTATACTGAGTTATCTATGACCTGCAGGCACAAAGAAAGGCAAAAGCAAATGCTGTACTCACTGCTCTGTAACACAGCAAGCTTTACTCTGTGTTAACTTCTTTTATGGTGTCTGCCACAATGAAAAAATGCCAGAAATACTCTATACATTTCCCTGTATTTAGACAACACAGGCCTAAAATGGCATAAGGAATGAAATTATTGTTTACTCTAAATTAAAACAGATAAAACATGAATGATTATATACATGAGTGCTTATATACAGTCTGTCATTTAAAAAGCCACAAATTCTTTCTTATAATTGTAGGGCAAATATTTTACACAAACCAAAGTGATTTAGATTTACTATGTATTTTAAACGTGATACAAGTACTACACTACGTCTAAAACTGCAGTTTGGAAAATCTCAGGTAGGGTCAAATTTGACTATGCATCATATAATTGCCTATATGCAATATATTTAAAATATGAATGTATGATTCATGCACACTCTCCCAGACATGAATAGTCATATCTTGTGTCTCTCCATCCCCAAAATTGGATCCACTGTGTACAGCATTTTTGCAATTTTTCTCCATTTCCCATTGAATGGGATTGATTTTGATTTTATCTATGCTTTGGGTTTACATTCTGGCTGGAAACTAGTGTTTAGAGAGTCCTCTCATAGTAAATAGCTGGAATTTCTTCTTCTGTACATCCATGTACAACACAGAAACTAAAATAAATAGAGCTGCCATAATATCTTGTGACAAACTGCATTCTAATGGAAAGGTCATTCAGTTTATTAGTAAATATATCCTGAGGCAAAGCTAAAGTTAATACAGAAGCAATAACTGATTTCATCCTCCCTTGATGTCTGACCAAAGTAGTTAGAAGGGCAGATGGTATGAATGTCAATTTTCACATCATCATCTTCTAGACCAGATAGCACATAATTATAGGCAGCTGAGCACAAATGTGCAATTACAGTCAGCGCAAGCTGGAAGCTGCAGATACTTCTTATCGGTTTATTTGGAAATGTGAATTTTTTTTTACAATTTTATTCTCTGTACTAAAAGATGTATGCAATGTTAAGTTCTGGAGGAAAAAGCTTTATATACTTTTAAGTTTGTTACTATGGAAGTTTCTCCTCAGATTTTTTTAAATTCATCTGACAATTTTTGGTGTCAAAAGCACAGAGAAATTTCCTTTCCTTCTTATACCACATAGCACTAGAAAATACCAGCTTAGGTGTGATGGCAAAAATAATTTAGAAGTTCAGGCAGAGGCAATCTGACATGTTCTTTAAAATGGAAATTTTCATCCAGGGATGTATCTGAAAATATTAGAAAATCAGGGAACTCACACATCTAATGGAATTTCCATTCATTTCCCCTCAGATAACTGTCATTGATCAAGTCTACATGGTTTGGGAGAACCCTGTTCTTTTCTGCTAAAGCCTGTGAAAGCTGCTGAGAGCAACTTGCTGCCGGAAGTATATGAAAGGTAAATAAAGTGGAGTTACAACACCTCCTTAAAAGTACGCTGCAAACATTTGCTGTAGTCACTCTTCCATGTGAGGAATTGTTACAGTTGCCATGGGAATACAAAATGAAATATAAAGCAATTGTGACTAATAACAAAGGAGGTGATCCTGGAGGCAGCAAATGAAGATGGTATCAACTGTGAAGCTGTTAAACTGAAATCTGTGTCAGTGGATCTCAAACTTTTTCCCCTCTCCCCCTTTTTGGTGTAGCTCCTGCTGCATGCCATGAAGTGTTTCCAGCATCTCAGGCAGGTGAAAATCATGGCAAAATAGTATGCATTGTGCTGCTTATTGCCCTTCATGACCCTTCAGGTCTTCTTAGGAATATCCCTGAGGTCAACTCAGACAACACTTATTTTGAAACACGGTCCTGGATGAAATGAGATTTTAGAATATGGTTACACATTTGCAGAAAGCTAGCAACCATAAAATATCAAGAACTTCTCTAGCTACGTAACACAGAGAAAATGTGCCTGTAAAATGCGTATTGCCTGATGAACTTCTGTGCTGGCTAAACCAAACTTCTGGTTTGCATCTCTTTTCATTTCACAATGCTCTACAAAGCCTATAGGTTTGGGTTTTGTTTTTATTTTTATCTCCACTATTTGGAACTCAAAGGACCTTGCACTGACAAGAATGGTCTGCCTTTGAAGCTCAGAGGCTTTTTTTTTTTTTTCCAGACATCAGGAATGAGCAATTACGCAATTTTCTCACTTCGATTTCCTTCCGCACTGCAAAGTGAAATAAAAGGAAAAAAGGGGACAAAGAAAACCTCTTTGTGTTTTAGCAAACACTTTGACAGAAATGAGATTTCTGATTTTAACTTTGCACTTTGTTGGCATAATAGGGCGTTTAGTCTCACCTGTAATATCACTCTTTACAGTGCTATTACTATTGCAGTCTTTAAAGACTTGATTAATCTGTCTAAAGATAGACTGGCTTTTGAGATGCCCTCAGCTATTCAGGATATCTGCAGAAAGCTGGAATATACAATACAATTTACAGGCCACCTTCTTGGCAGTGGAATATCAGCTGGGTATCCTCAAGTAGCGCTGGGTATCCTCAAGTGGCACTGGGTGGCACTGGATGCTTGTAGTTGTGTGGGCAGCTGAATTGAATCCTTCTCTCCATAGAATATCGCAGCAACTTAAACACTTAAACGTAGTCTGGCAGATTTTACTCTCTAATGGTGAGCCACATACAAATAAAATCTCCAAGTCTTTGCAGTGATCTCAATCTGCCATATACTGAGAAAAGTCTGAGAAAAAAATTCAAGGATTTCAAGTTTTAGCCCCAAACACTTACTTGTCTCATTTTTTATAGTAGAAGGGTACGTAAGAACAGTCATTCTTTTCTTTTTTTTTTTTTGACTGATCAATTTGTACAGTCTTCTGATGAAAGTCACAATCACTTTTTGACAGCTTTAATCATGCCTGCCAATGTGCAAGTTAAATGTACTTTGAAAATATATACATCAATATAAAGCTAACGTTCATATTCTACGAATGTTATCCAGTCTTATAAATACTTCAAGCCACAACAAATGACTCGTCATATGTCCTTTATTTCAGAAAAGAAAATCTAGTCATAAAATTACACTTTCTAAAATGTAACGGCATGTTATGTTGCTGAAATGCTTCATTCTTTGCAATCTTTATTTATTCTCTAGTAATTCATGCCATTGCATTGAATATAGTCTATTCTGTTGTAAAATTAATGGCTTACTTTATTCTTTCTTTCTGGCTGTAAAATTAATATCTTACTTTCTTCTGCTGGAGAGGGTTTCTTCGCCGTCTCTTGAGAACATCTTCAACCCTTGATTATCTCTATTTTGATCTAAGGAGCAACCTGGAGACTGCATAGGCTTCCTTACAGGAGGACCACATACTTTGCTCACCTAAAAGAAAAAATGACACAAGAAGAAGAACATAACACATGTAAACAAAAAATACTATATATCGATTCAGTTTAAGTCCATTTAAATAAGAAATAAAGTTCTCTAGTCATTAAGCTAACAAGTTTCACTAATTATCATATTTCTCAACACCATATTCAGTAAACCCATAATTAGTCATTTATAGTAGAAAAATAGCCAAACAAAATTACTTCTTTTGAAGGAATACCAGGTGTATAATCAAGTCACCACATATATTTTGATTGTGCTTTTTTTCTTCCTGTAAAGAAAGCGTATTGCTATGCAGATAGTAACAGTAACCTCAGATAACACAATGTGTTCTGAAGGGGCAAATTTCTATTTTGTCTGTAATACACCCCAATCACATTTTTAATATGCATTGAACTTGGTGATTTCTTTCAGGGTTGATGAATTATTATGGCATGTTCACCACAGTTACCCAGAGCTTATAGTGAACAGTTAGCATGGTGCAAACTTGCATTACAATGTTGCAAGATGTAAATTTAATGATCCAAGATGTAAGTTTAATGATTTGACCATAGATGTTGAAAATATCAAGGCATTTTATACATCTGGCTTTCTGATCTAGATGTCAAGAGGCACAAGTTCAAGTGAACTCCCATTTTCTTCTTAGCAAAATGTGATACTGAGTATTTTGTACAATGGAAGTTATCAATTCATCTTCGTGGCTTATTATTTTCCCTAGTCACTGAATAAAAATAATTAGGGCTATACATATTTATTAAATAAGAGATACTTCATGCTGGGGATCGCATCTGACAAGATATTAAGCTGACTGAACTACACATATTTTGTGTTAGCTAGCACACACGCACTACTGAAAACTAATACTATATGTGATTTATGAAAACTTGGGTTTCAATAGTCAACTTTTCTTTTTTAAAACAGGGAGAGATCACCGTTGTCTCTAACACAGTGTTCCAATTTTTGAAGCAGAAACACATTCAAAATGAGAAAGAGGAATGGGTGCATATGGTATACAACAAAGATTATTGTTTCCTGTTGCATTGTACACCCCTGAATGTAAGAATAGAGAAAGGAAATAAATCTCATTCTTCAAGTTGCCATCACACACGTTAAAGAGCAAAATGCAAGCCTTAAGAACCACCTTTCCAACTAAGAACTGCAGTAGTGCTAACTAAGAAATACATTTAAAATTTTAAATAATATTAACATATTTAATTTGATGAGCTTCCTTGCATGGTATAAGTGATGATAACTGAAGACTCACTGAATGTACTTGCTTAGGCCAGTCAAAAGAAGAAAGAATCATCATTATTACTACATATGAATAAGCATTCGACTTACGAATTTCAAGTAAGTGTAAAGTTCAAAGTGAATACTCCTTTTTGTCTGCAATTCACATGTCTTAGTTTAGGCATCCAAGCTATTATTTGAATCCCCTTCAAATGAGGTGCATAAATTTACCCACAAGATAATTGCCCCTGGATACAGCTAAATTGAGGAAGTGTGGTCTGGATGATCAGGTAGTGAGGTGGACTGTGAACTGGCTGAAGGAGAGAAGCCAGAGAGTTGTAGTCTATGGGGCGGAGTCTAGTTGGAGGCCTGTAACCAGTGGAGTGCCTCAAGGGTCAGTACTGGGACCAGTATTATTTAATATATTCATCAACGATTTAGATGAGGGAATTGAGTGTACTATCAGCAAGTTTGCTGATGACGCTAAGCTGGGAGGAGTGGCTGACACGCCAGAAGGCTGTGCTGCCATCCAGCGAGACCTGGACAGGCTGGAGAGTTGGGCAGGGAATAACTTGATGAAATATAACAAGGGAAAGTGTAGAGTCCTGCATCTGGGCAGGAACAACCCCAGGTTCCAGTATAGGTTGGGAAATGACCTGTTAGAGAGCAGTGTAGGGGAGAGGGACCTGGGGGTCCTAGTGGATGGCAGGATGACCATGAGCCAACAGTGTGCCCTTGTGGCCAAGAAGGCCAATGGCATCCTGGGGTGTATTAGAAGGGCGGTGGTTAGTAGATCGAGAGAGGTCCTCCTTCCCCTCTACTCTGCCCTGGTGAGACCGCATCTGGAATATTGTGTCCAGTTCTGGGCCCCTCAGTTCAAGAAGGACAGGGAGCTGCTGGAGAGAGTCCAGCGCAGGGCAACGAAGATGATTAAGGGAGTGGAGCATCTCCCTTATGAGGAAAGACTGAGGGAGCTGGGTCTCTATAGTTTGGAGAAGAGGAGACTGAAGGGTGACCTTATAAGTGTATATAAATATATAAAGGGGGAGTGTCACGAGAATGGAGCCAGGCTCTACTCAGTGGCAAACAATGATAGGACAAGGGGTAATGGGTACAAACTGGAACACAAGAGGTTCCACTTAAACTTGAGAAGAAACTTCTTCTCAGTGAGGGTGACGGAACACTGGAACAGGCTGCCCAGGGAGGTTGTGGAGTCTCCTTCCCTGGAGACATTCAAAACCCGCCTGGACACATTCCTGTGTAACATTATCTAGGTGTTCCTGCTCCGGCAGGGGGATTGGACTAGATGATCTTTCGAGGTCCCTTCCAATCTCTAGCATACTGTGATGCTGTGACATATGAATAGTGTCCATTAAGGGATTTCATAAAATCATAGAATCATGGAATCATTAGGGTTGGAAAGGACCTTAAGATCATCTAGTTACAACCCCCCTACCGTGGGCAGGGACACCTTATGCTAAATCATATCACCCAAAGCCTTGTCCAACCTGGTCTTGAACACTGCCAGGGATGGAGCATTCACAACCTCCCTGGGCAACCTGTTCCAGTGCCTCACCACCCTAACAGGAAAGAATTTCCTCCTTATATCCAACCTAAACTTCCCCTGTTTAAGTTTTAATCCGTTACCCCTTGTCCTGTAACTACAGTTTCTAATGAAGAGTCCCTCCCCAGCATCCCTATAGGCCCCCTTCAGATACTGGAAGGCTGCTATGAGGTCTCCACACAGCCTTCTCTTCTCCAGGCTGAAAAACCCCAACTTTCTCAGCCTGTTTTCATACAGGAGATACTCCAGTCCCCTGATCATCCTTGTGACCCTCCTCTGGACTTGTTCCAACAGTTCCATTTCCTTTTTATGTTGAGGACACCAGAACTGCACACAATACTCCAGATGAGGTCTCACGAGAACAGAGTAGAGGGTCAGGATCACCTCCTTCGACCTGCTGGTCACGCTCCTTTTGATGCAGCCAAGGATACGGTTGGCTTTCTGGGCTGCAAGCGCACACCGAAGCTGGCTCATGTTCATTTTCTCATCAACCAACACCCCCAAGTCCTTCTCCACGAGGCTGCTTTGAATCTCTTCTCTGCCCAACCTGTAGCTGTGCCTGGGATTGCTCCGACCCAGGTGTAGGACCTTGCACTTGGCATGGTTAAACTTCATGAGGTTGGCATCAGCCCACCTCACAAGCATGTCAAGGTCCCTCTGGATGGCATTTCTTCCCTCCAGCCTATCAACCGAACCACACAGCTTGGTGTCACCGGCAAACTTGCTGAGGGCGCACTCAATCCCACTGTCCATGTCAGCGACGAAGATGTTGAACAAGACAGGTCTCAACACCGATCCCTGAGGGACGCCACTTGTCTTTACTTGGATACACTTTAGTATCCACCTCACCGTTTCCCATCAGAGGCAGTGGCTCCTTGGACAGCATGTTACTATACTTGTTCTTGCCCTCAAATTCAGTTTCAAAGCTCCATCACACTTTTCCCACCATTTCCCCACTAACTCTTCTTCAGAGCACATGCTCTCCATCAACTTAACTGGACTTCCATCCCTTCCCCACCCATAAGTCTCTACACTCTTTCTAGGCTTCGTTCATCCTCATGGGTGGAGGAGTTTTCTCCTTCAGTGCTGCACCTCCCCAGTCTCTGCAGCAGTCTATTCCATCAGCCACTCTACATCAACACAATGTACATACAACAGAAACAAAAAATGCTTGTCCTTGTACTTGTCTCACTCTGCTCATATTCTCTTATGCTCACTGATCTGATATGGGGAGCATTATGCTTATGACTAATTTTTATTACAAAGCAACTGATGGTTTGGGTTGCCTCAATTCCAGGCTTGCCATATGCTCTTCAACAACTCTTTATCTTACCAAGAATGGAAACAAGGGTTTAAAAGACAGCGAGAGATGTGTAGATTGTTGTAGGTCTTAGGTGCCTTGCATGTCTGAAAGAGGCACCTTACCTGTTCAAGCACTCTCAGAGACTGACTGCATGGTGGGAGCCAGTGAGGAGAAGAGAAATAGGGTAATACAGGACCTAAGCAGACAAATAACAGTCCTTTGGGTCAAAAAAATTGGCTCCAGTTATAGTAAACTGAAAAAAAATATTTGCATTCACCTACACTAGGAAGGCAGGAGAATCCACTGCTATCTATATTTCTTGAATTTACAATAATATCTCATTATAGTTTACTCTGTCTAAAATTAACAAATAAAGAAAATATTTTTTTGCAGTCATAGTGGCTTGGGATATGGATGATATTTGTTTTATATCTATTAAACAGTTGCTTCAAAATACTGTCTAATGATCATTATCTCTGTTTATCCTCTTTGAGTGGTCTCAAGAAATGCATTGAAAGAAATTGGCACAGCTACAAGTTGGGCAGATAAGAGACTCAGAGCAGCCCTGCAGAGAGAGACCTGGGGGTGTTGGTCGATGAGAAAATAAACACGAGCAGGCAGAGTGCGCTTGCAGCCCAGAAAGCCAACCGTATCCTGGGCTGCATCAAAAGGAGCGTGACCAGCAGGTTGAAGGAGGTGATCCTGCCCCTCTACTCTGTTCTTGTGAGACCTCATCTGGAGTATTGTGTTCAGTTCTGGTGTCCTCAACATAAAAAAGGACATGGAACTGTTGGAACAAGTCCAGAGGAGGGCCACGAGGATGATCAGGGGACTGGAGTATCTCCTGCATGAAAACAGGCTGAGAAAGTTGGGGCTGTTCTGCTTGGAGAAGAGAAG